GGATTCTTATCGGACATTAGTATTTTTACGAAAACATTACATAACGTCGTCGGTGGAAAACTCGGCGTGTGTGGCTGATAAATAACGAAGGACAAAGCTAGTAATCAACTCGTTCATCGTGAACCCTCGATAAGATATCGAAGAAGTTCCAGACTAGAAAGAAGACTTTATATTGCGTGTAAGTTTGTGAAACTTTTGTTTATAAATCATTGTTTGTAATAACTATTTGTAATAACTGTTATTGTAAATTGTATTGTTGCGTGTATATTAAAACATATTTGTGTTAAGAAAGAAAAAACTGTGTATCAATCTTGTTGGCAAATATCATAAACTGACTATATATCGGCTTTTATTAACTACTAAATCTAAAGTACAATTTAACTACCAAACTTAAATTTATCCTCACAATGTATTAGATACTAGAGATGGGTTAACAATGTATTAAGTACTAATTAAAGGTTAACAATGTATTAAGTACTAGAGAAAGGTTACATCGATTCAAATTAACTAAAACAAGTAAGCGTCCATATTGTCCGAGCATAGAGACAGTAAAATATCTCTTATTTGACTGTCCTAATGTTCAAGTTTACTGGAGAAAAGTTTCAGTTATCTGTAAGGTTAGACCTCTCAGTTACACAGCTGTCTTCTTCCATAATCCATTATATGTTCCTAAAAAAATATCTTTTCTTTTATATTATTATCATTAATATATCAGATTTGGGCATCCAGATGTAGAGCAGTGTATGACAACTTAAGAGAAAGTGCACCAGTAGTAATGAGAAGGGTAAAATGAAACATAAGAATAAGAGTGAGTTACGATCACAGACGGCTCACGGAGGTAGAACTTAATAAAATATGGTTACCGGATGAATCATGTTTGTTCACCAATCTGCTGGATTTCAAGTTCTAATAGGTTCACTATGTCCAACAAACATCATGTTCTATTTCAAATGTCTAGAGAGGAGGGAGAGCTGCGGCGGACCAACGAAAGTTGGAGATGTTAACCTGATAGGATATGATGGTTGTAATCTTGTTTCTATTCTTTGTACGACTGCGACTGTTCTTTATTTCGTCCAGTATTTTGAATTAAAGTTAAATTTAAATGTGCTACGAGGGTCGAGGTAGGTGAATCTTTACCTACTCTCCACACCTTTAAACAGCATTTAGTTAAATTTCAAGAAATGTTTTATATGTTTAATCTAGTTTTACTTTACAGATTTAATTGAAGTACACTGTTAAGGAGCGGGAGAGGTGAATTTTTATCTTTTCTTTATACCCTTATTCAGTATTTAATTATACCGAGTAAAAATTTTTGGAAACTAATATTAAGTGTTACATATTAGAATTTCAAATAGCCTGAAATTGAGTTAACTGATTCTCAATGTAACATATTATTTATTAATAATATTGAAGAAGATCAATGTAATTATAAAATTAAGTTTTATTGATATTCTACTTAATTTTTTAATATGTGTTTGTCACTACCAAGTGTAATATAATGAACTTCTTATTTTTGTATGTTTGAACATTTACTCAGAAATAATAAATACAGTTTAGCTTCCATAAAGTTCGATTGTTGATTTTTTATTTACTTTGAAAAATATTTATATTGTTTTTAATAAATATATTCCCTAGCGATCAATATTCGAACTATTTTTCTTGCAATGCATTATGGGAAAAATTACTGCAGTCATATTTTGGCTAGGCGAAAGCTACTGGAAGTTGAAGTATGCTGTAAAACTAGTAGTAGTATTAGGGCTGAGAAGTGATGTGTTGTTAAGCAACGAGGAATGTAACCGAAAGTCGAGACGTTTAGTGTTTGTATTCTATAAGTGTACTTTACACATTCTAAGATTTTAATGGAGTTAGGAAGAAATGTCGGAATGTAGCTAAACAAGCGTAGTTATAACTTATAGTTATAGTATTCATTTCTTTAAAATAGGCTTATTTTTATAATGATATTCATCCCTAGACAAGCCTAAGCCCTCCAAGTGAAACTGACAGTGGCAGTTCGCGACATATACATAATACAGTAACTTCAATGAATAAGGTGGGAACAGATTGACGTTAGTTGCTCCCCTGTATTGGAACGGTGTGTTGGTAGTATAGTTGGCTCGTAAGCCGAAAAGTGTAATATTACAGTACTAGCCCATCGTTACTAGTTGTGGAGATATTAATTTATGGTACTTTGGTAGAACCTTAAGTTAATTGCTTTCAAGTGAGTAAACATAAATTTAAAAATATATAGTGTGCATAGATGTCACGTTCTCAGAGTATTTGTAGTTTATTAAGTTAAACCAGGGTTTTACAGCCTTAGGCCTGATCTTAGCTGTAAAGTGTAATATTGCGGAGGCCTAAACGTGTTCGTAGATTTAATTTTAACTTTAAGTTTTAGATACTCACTATATAATCCAGTTCCAAGTAGTGTGATCATGGAGGTCTCAGTGATTCGTCAAACTTAAATCTATTCCAAGATACCTATATTGTGTTTACCACATTATATGAACCTGGATTGTGAAGTCCTAATTTTACTCAAGTTTGAATTATTTGACTTTTAAAGACTGAAAATGCAGGATAAGATGAACAAACCTAGTTCCAGACCAGAGTGGAGGCTTTTTTTTATGGTAAGTTAAGAATTTTTTTAATAAACATTGTCAACATTTTGGAAATATAAATATTAAGGAAGGAAAACACTTGATTCAGGTTTACAGATCTGTGCACAAAAGCTGTAATTGCACATGATTAGTTTCATCCTAGCTTTTGTACTTCATGTAAACCAAACTCTAAATTGGATGAATAATTCTGTTTTCTAATCTTAAAGTATAAAAAAGTTAACACTTTAAATTATTATCTAATAACCTATGGTGTTTTGAGTCCGTTTTACTTCAGCATATAGCTATTTAAATTATTATTCTTTTTCTCCTTAGCAAGTAAAGGTACATTAAAAAAGTACTAAATTAGCTATTGAGTTGTACTGTACATCTCATACCAACAATAGACATTGTTGGGCAGTAGAAGTATGCACTTGCATTAAATAATTCTCTGATTTCTTACTCTGTATGTGACTTGAACTTCATATAAGACACTTTCACGACACCTAACTTTTAGTTGATGATTTGCAATGTCATATTTGTTTAATGTAGTGACTAGCATAAGACGGGTATAGTTTTGTGCATTCTAGATTTTGTTCATTATATTCCATTTGTGAAAGTTATTAGGTTTTACATCCTTGTCACCTATAACTGGTGTTAGTAACTTATACTTATGCGTGTTGAAATGTGATGTCAAAAAGTTAATGGCAGCCTTACCAATGTTATTGAAAGTCTTACCTGTGTGCTTTATATGTACTGTAACTTTTATGACAAATTATTCAGGACTGATCGATCATCATTATCGATTAAACTAATTGACTATCAGTAAAACAGTCTTGGTGAATACTTTGCAGGTTAACTTAAATGCTTCTTAGACAAACTTTCCATAAGAAGTGGGAGCTAGTGATAGTCCCATCATTGTTTTATTATGGAAAAAGAAATTTATGTACATCAAGCATGATATTGTGACTGCAAAAAATAATATAGACATGAGTGTACCTTACATTTCATAATAAAGTATAAAATGTCATAGACTGTCCTCTGATTATGTTGTGAAACATATATTAATGTAAAGATAACAATTATGAAAATAATTTCTTCATTTGGATATCTAAGGAAAAAATATTTCTTTAAATAATTTGAATTTCCTCACCCTTCAAAAATTCTGGAGTCTACCAATTAACTTTACATTTCAAAGTTTCTTCAGCTGATCGTGGTTAATATTTTGTTACCCAGTGTGAAACTGTATGTTTGTATCATAATGTTTCTTTTCATTTATTTATACTCATAATAATGTAGTGAATGTAGGTTTTAAAAAACTTGGCATTATCTATTTACCAGATATCACTTACATAAATCAGTTTCCCATGTCTGTCAGAAGTATATTGCTGTCTATGAAGTTAATGAGAACAAACTTGTAATTTTTCTACCAATCCTGTTTAAAGCAATAATATTTTATTAGCTAGAAATCTTACTATACCTAAACTGTGATTCACTTTAACTTGTAACACAAGTAAGGAAATACTCATGAAAAGTGAAAATATATGTATTTTATACTAACAAAACCATTGTTCTCCTGGATCCTGTACTATTTGTATTTTTTGAATTACTTAATGGTTACAAAGATAATGTGGCCTTTAGTTGTAATGTCTCAATGATTAGTTGTCACATTAACTTAGCAAAATGTGAACTTTTTTTTATAACTAACCACTGTTGAATACATTACTAAAGACTTTTCCCCCTCCTCATATGATTTCAGTTACTTTCACATCTGTAAAAATATTATATTGAATTTTAGTCTTCCTTTTTTTCCTTTAATATTCTTTTTTTTTTACAGATTTTTAAAATTTCTTCCTTTCTCATGTGCCCATGAACACATGATATTTCAATCAAAATCACTTCCAGATTATAAAATTATTGTACCTCCACTAACATTAATCACTACATTGGTCTTGACAAATTCAAAGTTCTGAAATCAGGGCAGACAGACATCTAAATGTTGATCAGAGGAACCATTCTGACCAGTTGACATTCACTTATTTTCAAGTTCAACAAAAATGTCTCCTCATTTAAACCATAATTGAATGATTTTAAGGATTTAGTATGCATATTTTGTGGTTATCATGAACTGTTTCTATTTTCTAGTATATGCCCTCATACAAGTACCAATTTTTTTTTCTTGTTGTTTATTTAAATAGTAATTATCAATTTCATGTACTTCATGTAGGTTATTTTTTTTATCCATGATATTTCAAAATAAAACTGTGTGTTATTTTCTGCAACTAATTACTGTGATATGAAATGTCCGATATGAAAATATTTTTGTTTTCAACTATGATTATAATTATGATTCTTTAATAATGTATTGATATTCAAAAAAGTATAAGAGTAATTATTTGTTTTTAGATGTTATGACAAATACAACTGGATAATAAACACTAATTATGTAAAACCAACATTCACAGATATTAAATGAGAAGTCGAGGATGAACATCTCAAATATAAAATAACATTCTGGAAAAACCAGGTTCTTGAATTATAATCCCATAAATTACATAACCCTATTGAAGGAAAGAAAAATCCTCTGTCTACTTTATGTGGATGTAAGGGTAATATTTTTCTCTATGTATACATATTATAGCTCCTCCAGTTTTTATTCCAAATATTCTGCAAGTACTAACCAGTGTGCTCAAAATGCCAAGTTAAATTCCTAATATATCTATCCCAGCTTCCTGTTATTTTAGTAATTCTTGAAATTATGGTAGTTTGGTTAAAGTGTAATTGAAAAAAGAAATTCTAGGAAACCAACAAATATTTTTAGATTAAAGTTTGTGAAACTTGTCTGAACATAACGTTTAAATTGGAAGCCTAGCTTCTGAGGTTTTTGTTTTACACAAAAGTCATCTTTATACAGGGTGGTCCAAAATTATCTTTTCTATTTTGAAATATAATAATTAATTAACTAAGGAAATACAACCATGCAGTTTTCAATATATCATAGCCCACCTCAGTAGACTTCTATGTGTGCACCATTAATGACTCAGCAAGTCTAGCCAATGTTTGATTTCAGTCCATGTTCGGTGTAACATGTCCACAATTACAGTGATGATGACATTCATTATCCTGGTCTTTACTTTCGTGATGTTTGCTATAGGTGTGCGATACACGATATCCTTAACGTTTTTCTTGTACTGGCATATGTAGTTATGCTGCTTCATTCTCATTGACTTGGTCTCTGCAAGCCTAATGACTCATTTAGCCTTTTCTTACATGGTTGCCATTTTACAGGGTAACACTACCTACTGGAATGAAAAAAAAACATGACAATAAAACTGTTTGAGTTGGAATACAAGATGTTGAAAGCTGCATGGTTGCACTTCCTTAGTTATTTAATTATTAAATTTTAAATTAGGAAAGATAATTTTGGACCACCCTGTATTTTACTGTGTAAATGATGTGATAGCATAGTGATGTTCAGTTCTTTTTTCTTTTTTTGCTTCTCAGTTAATAAATCAACTGGTGCTATCCAACTGAAGTAGTCTGAATTTACATAGACATGTTTCTTTTCAGTTACTGTATTCAGGAATGATCATATCAAGCAGAGCAGTTACACCTTCCACCAGGTTGAAAGAAGTTGGTAGGCCAACTGTAGAGAATTCAGATAAAAGAGCTCCTCAACTGACAGAAAGTGCTAGTTGTGGGTCTCTCTGTGCAGGTCTGGAAGCACTGGGCCCTCCCCCAGATGTCATCATTGTTATGCCACCTCCTCCTCTTCCCAGCTTTGTGCAGTCCTCACTGCAACTGAACCACACTGAGAAACTAGAGTGTAACTTCTGCCATGTGTTTGATGGTAGCAGTGATGGATCTATTCCATTCCCATTCCCAACCAGTAAGTCTAATTGCCTTAAGTACCTTGTCACTCATTAAATCAGCCATGGAATCTAAGCTCATCATATCTCAAGCTTTAATAGGTTGTGATGTATAAGGTGATCTTTCAATGTAAAATAATTTGTTTATTGTTATTGACAACAATTTTTATATTAGATACTTTGAAACTATAATGTTATTGACAGGACTCCCTTATGCTTGATAGTGTGTAACATGTAATACATTTTTAACTTACATGTAGTATTCGATGACGAGGAACCCACTTTGAGACTAATAATGGCTGGAGACGGCTTGAATGGGTTATGAAGTAAAACTTCAACATAAGTTTTGCTTCATTACCCATTCAAGCCGTCTCCAGCCATTATTACATGTAGTATATTATAAACATTGTATCCAAGTTCATAGTCAGTCCTGAAATTTATGTGTTGTTATTTTCAAACTAAGAACCCTGTTTGTGCTTTTAAATGTTTCACTTGTTTAAACTAACTTTGGTTTTGGTCAAACATCAAATGTGCTATTGTACTACAAAAAGGATAAGTAATATCACCTGAAATGAGTTTACAAACAAATTACTTGAGTCATAAATATATATTCTCTCTCTTTTAATCTGATGTCATCTTTACACATTTTTAATAAAATGTTCAGGAATCGGACAAAAGGTATTCTGATACACTTTCTTGCAACACAAGCTTACTATAAGTAGCTATATGAATATTGCAAATAGCACTAAATATGTGTATATAAATAACATGAACATTTATTTTTATTTTAAATCAAATATAAACTAGTAGTTATGGTGACATCATCAGTAAATTATGCAAATTAGCTCTATTGAAGTTTAAAACCTTCCTTTTGTAATGTGTTCTGACCATTCAAGGGTCAAAATCTACCATTTGTTGCAACCCTAAATAAACTTCAGGTCATGTTGTACTTCAAAATATCATTAGTTTTCAGCTTGCTAAGTAATGTTTTCATCTGTTTCATCAGCCCGGTAAGAGTGGGTGATTTTTGCCTAGCAGAAAAATGAAAATTAACCCATAGATTTTACTGGTATCTTTGCAGACTACTGCCTGATGTTTAATTGCTTACATATTACTTGTATAATGATTGTTTTTGTTTTTTTATCTGGGATAAACCTGATGTAAGCTTCTCCCACAGTGATTAGATCTAAAGTAGATAAAGTTAGAAAAAAATATTATCGGTATTTTTTCAGAAAATGGTAATTTCCTTATACCCATGGTTATATTTGTTAAAGTTTGAAAAATCCAATAGGTCTTAATAGGTTATTTTTTTCTTTGTCTATAGTGAAATCAACTGAAACTTGGATTTCCATAACAGTTGTCATTGTAGCAGGTTCAGCTGTATTGATTGCTGCTATTTTGGGGTTTCTTCTGAAATTCAAGAAGCAAGTAGTTTTAATTGATTTATTTTTGTTATTCAACTATTGTTAGAGAGTTTTCTACTGAAAGAAATTATAACTGCTACGACAGTTAAATTATTATTTTAAAACTAGTTAAGTAGTTGGCTGTATTTTTATATTGAGGGTTACCAAACTGGTTATAAATATCAAGAATAAAAATATAACTTTCAGAATTAAGACTAAACACATTTTATTAGTCAATTAGGAACCAAAGTAAGCCATTTTCAGAAGAATTAGAATGTCATAGTTTTTACAATTTATGAAAGTTTTTGTTATTGTCACTGTCATTTTCTCTATGTGAGGAAGTATATGGAAGTCCTAATTTAGCATATATAGATTTAAAGTTGGCCTAATTACAAAGTATCATTAAGTACATGACTAAAGGGTGGTAAAAAATTTATATTTCATAATAATTTTTATAATATTTTAGCACATTAAATCTGACAGTTATTTTTTACTCTTAGTTTTTCACAAGTTAAAATGTGCTTCAACCAAAAGTTTTTATTTTTTAGCATTTTGAAAATCTGAAATATTGAATCTTAAGCTTTACAAGTTGTAAGTTTTTATTAACAGAATAAGATTTTTCATGAATTAGTAATCTTTCATCTAATATTCTAATAACATTGTAACTACTCATAACCAGAGAAAATTGGAAAACAGAAACCAGATTATTGTGTTTCCATTAACTTACTGATTAACAAATACTGATGTATTCAACAGTTTTTCTTTCTGTTACAGATGGAAAATATTTCCAGTGGCAGGTATGCATTTCTAAGTATGTTAATTTCTTGATTAAAAGATGGAAAGTATGGGATCTTCATAAAACTCTTACAGTAACTTACTATTCTTTTTGTAAAATTAAGTCCTGACATCATGTATCTTGAAATGAGCATTTGAATGTAAGATGAAACTATGGCTGTGTTTAAATGATAAAAACTGTAGCCTGACACTAAGTATGATAACATTCCAATTAAAAAATCTAAAATTATGAATGAAACAATTTTAGTTATTCTGTAAGACTAAGAAAATACCTTAAGTGCATTGCTCGAGAAATTATGATTTAAAGTTTTCCACGTGAATATTGCCTGAATTGTAGTTCCCTTTCCTAAAATGGTTCATGTTCTTAGCCCCTCCCTAACTTGGTCTACAAGTACAAGATAGGTGGTGTCATCCTGAAAGCTGCCTTAGATTTAGGGAAAGTAGACTCTCGTAGTTACATCTCGCATTTGGAGAGTTGTGATAACATAGATTTTTCATCCATCCTTCTTGAAAATATTTTCACTTTCTTCAGTTCTTTATCTGAAAGTAACACAGTAATGATAAATTTATAATAAAAATTAATTTCCAACTTACAGCTCATGTTATATGTACTTCATAAGTAACATCAAAACTTATATTTTTAAATAAAGAATATACTTTTAAAAAATGAGTAATAGTTTAACTGGTCATAATACTTTCACTGTTCCAATTTAGGTGTTGTGTATTTTGCATGCATTTCATCTGATTTCGTAGAGTAAATTCCTGAGTGTTTTATCATACAATTTTATGCTGAAATATTTTTCTCTTCCTTCAGTCCTATATTATAGCATTTACAAGTAACAGTTTACCATTGTAATAATTTGTCGCTATTTAAATTTACCACTTACTATTTGAATTTGGTAAATGCTATTTGTTTTAATTGTATGTAGCCGTATTTTTGATAGCATTATAAATAAATAGGTAATTTCTGTGCTGCAAAACATTGCTTCAAATGAAATATTATTGATTCTCAATGCTAGTCGGTTATACCAGTAAACAACAAACAATATCACTAGCTTGAAACAGTATCATAGAGCAATATCCAACTATGCTGTTTGATGATTGAAATGTCACTCTAATAAGAAAGGTTTTGGCAGGTAGTATACCATTTAAAATTTGTTTGTTCAATTAGTTAGAATTTCTTCCAAGGTATAGGAAGTATCTATTTAATGAGGGCAGTGGTTAAAATATAATTTGAATTAAATGTATGCTCATAAAAAAATTAAGACTAGTGTACTGACATATCTGAAGAAAGAAATCTTGTAACTTGTACATAACATAGATATATTTTTAGTATAATATTTGTATGCTCTTATGTCTTTTTATGTTATACAAGAAAGGACTCAATAAGTTATGCAAGTTATGTTCAAATATTATATGTAACAGTTTTTTGTCAACTTTTTCATGTTGTTTAGGAGATTCCTGTCCAATTTTACCTGAAAGTTTCCTCAATAGCAAAGGTGGTTCACAAACATCCTTCCCGAAGAATCTTCAGTCTCCTAATTGTCCAAAGAAAAATGACAAAACAGGAAAGAATCAAGGTACCAGTTCCTGTCATTGGTTCCATGTCCCTGGTCATTGCATCCCCCAGCAGGTTTGTGACTACCAGACATCAAGAAAGTTTAGCACGTACATTGCTGGGAGTGTTTCAAGCAGCACAGAGAGCCCAGAGTGTGCTGATGTTAACCAACAGTCTGATGGTACAACCAGCAAAGTTCACATGTATGCATGTATTCCTGATCTAGAAGTAACCAGAAGGTTAGCAGCTGGAGCAGAGCAGCTTGGAAACAAAGCATATGACAATGCTGGATTCCTTACTAGTTCATCTGAAGAAAATAACCCCTTTAAGCAGAAGGGCTGGAACCAAAAGGTATCTGGATGCATTCTTCCTCGACCAAGTCATTTGACAAGTGCACAGGCAGCCAAGGTTTTATCTGATCTTCCAAGCAATGTTGCACGGAATTCATCACCTTCTACACAGTTTCCATCTCTCTCCAATGTAAGAGCACTTCGCTTAAGGTCAGAAATGCCAAGGAGTGCCCAAGTTCTACACCGGCCACTCCCTCCTTTGCCTGTTGAGGAGATATAATTCCTGAGGAGTATTGTATATATTAGTGGTTCAAAGTTTGTTTGTTTATTGTTGAGATTGTTTTTTCCTGGTATCTTCCTATGAATTTTATCTGTTCTTTCTTTGTTTATACTCTTTAGCATTTGTGTGTAATTTATTTTTGATCATACCAGTATATTAATATTTTGAAATTTTCACTTTTGCGGAAAGAAATTTTTTTTCTTTTTTTATGATCATCATATGTCATAAAAACTGTGCAAAAACTATAGATAAGTTACTTAAGTCATAAGCAAAATAACTTTTAGGAATCTTAAGTATGCTGGGAAACTATATTTCAAAATTAGTTGTTTGACAGACTAGCCAAATGTGTTTCTGTAAATGTTTCTTTCATATGTTGTAGTTCTGAGAAGCACTGAAGTTAAGTGTGGAAAAAATTTAAATCTTGTACATCAAAACTGTGCTCTTAACTGATTTAGTAATTTTATTTCACATATCCCATAATTTTCTGTCACATAAAGCGAGTAATTATTTAACCTCAAGATTTAACCTAATATAGCAAAATCCTACAGATTACATAAAGTGAAATATATATAATTAAATAAGAGCACTTTTTGAAGCTTTGGTTTTAATAAAACCTCTACAGATTAGTTTTGTGTTTAGCCACCAGAGGAAAAATTGAAGCATTATCAGTGAAAGAAGCACTGTATAAGAAAAAGTATGGTGGGTATTAATGTACCTGTTGTATTCAAGGATTTAGGTTTGTAATGACAAAATATGTTCTTTATTTGACTTCTGAAAAAAATTGTTTTGCTGATACTAGCTAAAGTTAACAGTTTAAAAAAATTGCATATTATTAGTGTAGAAAAGGTTTACATGTGTTTGAATATCAGACAGTGGAAGGGAAGTTAAACACACAGTTTAGTTGAGCTTCATGTTTTACCACTAACTTTATTAATCTATGTACATTGCATGTATTTTAATAAACCTCTAGTAGTAAGGCTTTGTTGTTATAACCTTTTATAAACTTTGAACGTGTGTAATGTATAAAACCAATATACAGTAGTTTCTATGCCATTGTCCTTGTAAGTTACCTCACACTGTAGTAATACAACTGTTCTCATAGCTTATGCTACATGGAAATATATATCTATGTGGATAGTATTGGCCATTCTTTTTTTTTTGCTATATGCATAGAACAGAAAAATACCTCTAATCTGTGTGGTGCCATATGATCCAGTTTTATGTAAAATTTGAAGGTGGATATCTTATACACCTTTATAATTGTGTTCTTCCAGAATCTAATCTGTGGTGCCATAATCCAGTTTTAAATTAAACTTGAAGGTGGATATCTTATACACTTTTACAGTATTTGTGTTCTTCCAAAATCTTTGCTCTGTGGTGCCATATGATCCAGTGTTAAGTACAATTTGAAGGTGGATATCTGATGCACCTTTACAATATTTGTGTTCTTCCAGCATCTTTGCTGAGGTGCCATATGATCCAGTGTCAAGTAAAATTTGAAGGTGGATATCTGATGCACCTTTACAACCTTTTTGTTCTTCCAGATTCTACCTACCTCAGTTGCTTCTTAGAATCAGCATCTAATGCTAGTATAGCATTTACTAAATACCTGAAAATATGTTTCTGAATGTGCCAACAAATTAATTTGGATATCTTTTTGGAGAAGTTGTTTTAAGCTTTGTGCATGACTTGGAAGGAATGGACATCATGAATGAGACTTTTATCCATCTGTATATATATTTATGTGTTAGTATCTTCACCAGCACATGAATTTCAGTGAAGAAAAGACAAATCAGCAAATGTAATGCTTACACCACAACCATCTGACATCTTCACAGGCTATTTGTTAAATACTGTGCAGTATTGGTACCTCATCTAATACTTTGTGTTTTGTTTTAGAATGTCTTACAATGTCAACTAAAAGCCAGAAAAGAAGGGTAGTAGAAAAAGTAAAGAAATAACTATTTACTTATTTTGTCTCTTTGTGTGTGTTTTAATAAAATGTTATTAGTTCTAGCTGGTTATTAATATACCAAATTCTTTTTTAGAGAAAAACTTTAAAATGTTTTTTAAATTGGAATGTGTAATCCAATCATTGAAGGTTTTTAAATAGAGTTGACAGTACCCAATAAACAGTTACTAGTAGTTTTTAATGTTTCTTAAATGTAGTTTATAGGCATTTGGAAGAAATTGAGCTTTTCAGTATTCAGATGTGAAATATATTTAAGAGTTCAAGTGGTATCAAAGTATTCTAATGTTTCAGCCCTTGCTCCCCCCCCCCCCCTCCTCAACACAGTGATTTTAATATGGCTGGGTTTGTTGTGAATCTTCTGACGTTAGGCTACCCGTGTTTTGCTTCATTTGAGGAACTCTGCAAGTTTGTAAGGTTAACAAATTGCTGGTGCGATCATAGGCTCTGATTTGACGGTGGAAACAACATATACCTGTCGATAGTAATTGTTCAATGATTAAAGTTACTAACAACCTCCTTAAACCCTCGAATAAAGAATGCAACTGGGATCAAATTTGAAACCTTTTTAGTTTCTATAGCACATCCGGTTGCATGTGAAACCCTTTTGTAGGCCTAAGAGTACGATGCCTACCCTGTACGTATATTTTCATTTTAATCAGTAAGATATGTATATAATTATTTTCCCCGAGTGATGAATATTACGTGTTGTACAATTATCTGAGTGTTCCTATACGGTTATTACGAGGTACGTTTAAGTATTATACATTGCACGAATTTGCCAAGTGGTTTCTCTTAGCGCAGCAAAAATATTAGTTTTTGAAGTAACATACGTTTTATCCGTTCCGAAATTCCTCGGAATGTTTACCTCATAACTGTGACGAATGTAATGCCACTCGTTATAGAACTGGAACGTTTACTAAACACCGAGCAACATGTGTTTCGACTACTTTCAAGGTTCTGTTCCTGTTTGTCAGTCGTTTCTATAGTTAGAGCTCGTTTGTACCGCGTGCATTGTGTTGTCTACGCCTGCTTTCGTTGTAATAGGCTGAGCGCATTTGTGGGAACGTGGGGCAAAAGTTGTGGCTAGTTGCACCCACTGCTATTCTTCCAAAAAAGGGCCAGTTAAAAGTACCTCGCTGCATTCATGAATCGCTCTACTGATTATGCATTGAAGAAGAAAACGATCGTGTTACAACCATGAAGTTCTAAGACTAGAATAGGTATAGTGTCGCATTCGGTGCAGCCCCTGTGTGCGTTTCAGGTATGTAGCATGTGGCTACTTATCTCTGTTCCCGGTAGCAGATGTAGTGATTTTGTTTTATTGAACTAACTTGTTGGTCTCAGTGCTACTCGATGTATGGTCGGTATATATTGTACGGATTTCGAACTTATCTCTACTAGTTCTTTGTTGTATATTCTCTTTGTAAAATTAAACGTGTACGTGTTGTGTTTAATATTTGTAATATAGTCCATAAACTTATTATGTGTATAATAAAACAACTGAAATACATTTCTGTTGTCTTATCTAATCATTTGTCAGTAGCTTTCAGTGTTATTTACTCAGGGTATGTATAATTCCTTTTTTCCAATATTCAAACACTAGTGTACTACTACAACAAAAGATTTTTAATACTTGACTGTACATTTCGTTTATGAAATACTGCGATTTTGATCAATAAGAGCTTTTGATTAAAACTAAGCTATCTAAGCATTATCAGAAATGTTAGTTTTAAGACTCATTTATGGTTAGAATATTGCATGAAGACATTTGGCAAGTTTTTGTAGTAATCTCTACAGATGATTACGTTTTGTTTTTGGCACTTGGGCTTTAAATATGACAGTGGTAACCTCGATAGGGGGGGGGGGTCTTCCATATCGAGGTTCTTTAACATACGAAATGTGAAAATGGTTATGAATATGTATTAGTCGGTACAGTATCCGTTAGCGCCTGAATCACTGTGCAATTTTAAGAACTTATCAGCTGAAGCAAACAAAATGTATAATAATATTTCAACCACACTACATCTTCCATATCCAGTGTTGACGAGGGCCTTTCGTTCAATATCAGGCCAGCTGGGATACGACAGACGTAGTGGTCGAGGCGCTATTTATCAACTTCATGAACTGTTATGATGTGAATCGGATTAAATTTGTAATTTATCATAAACTTGTTTATGACGTTTACAAATCAGAATTAGGGCTAATCGATATACGTCAACATCTATTTCGCCAAAACTTTTAAAGAGGCACGTAAGTACAAACACCGTTAAGCGGTTGTTCAGGGAATAAATAAAATTATTTGGTGATCCAGGAGAGTTTGCACTGATACGTGACTGCAGTTAAAATCAATGTTGAGGGCTGGTTATAAGCGCTGACACGAGCTGCTCGTCGCTTCGAAACTCCGGGCACCCAGCTCTCTTTGATGTATGGACCATAACCGGATTATCAATGCGCCACTGCAGCAAAATAAAGCTTCAGCATGCTCTGTAGAAACGGTCCAGCCAGCCGCAGGATCGAACGACGTGTCTCTGGTGCAAGCCTACCTCGCCACCGTTCCTGCACTTTTTTTTTAACTTCCAAATCTGTAATGTTTGTTCTTTTTATCGCAATAAAAATTGGAAATCAATAATTTAGTTTGTATTAATGTTTATATTATCTTTTTAATCTCATTGCTACACTACAGATGACTAATTATTTCCTCTTCTCTTTCTATGCAGAATTTCCGAGATTTTTTTTTGGTAAGGTTGTAATTAAACAGATCTTTAAATATCCTGGCCCTGTTACAGATCCTAATACGACACTAAGCACAGAAGTAGACGTCTCGTGCGTAACACCACAGTTAACAAATGGGCGACCTAGGTACAGATAACAATTAAAATAATCATTGTACAGAAAAAAAATACATTCATATAGTTTTCGAATAAAATTACAAATGTAAAGAATATAACTCCAAAGCTAAATATATTTGCCTGAACATTCTCTTTGTGCTACAAGCTAGTATTTTCATATATGCTCAATAGATTTCATTAATTGGAATATATTTATCAAGCATTTAATACAAATTAAAGCTAGACAGTCTCAAAAGGAAAGTGGTATAGCTTAGCTAAACGAGATTCAATCATACAAATAAAAGGAAACTTGTAGCTTAATCATGGTAGAGTAAGACTTGAAATAATTTTATGTTTATTCTTTTTATTGAAATAGTATCTGTTATCTACAAGAGATGGCGCTGATAGTAATATATCTTAAATTCAAGTAAGTACCCTTTATTTATTTACTAGCATAAGTGCCCGGCTTCGCTCGGATTATTAGGTTGATTTATTCTAGATGACTATGTCAGTGTGTGTATTCTGAACCCATTTTAGCATAAAAGTATAGCATATACTTCTGTTGCTTCTTTACGGGATGTGGCCTGTTTATAAAGGTAACCTTCCCTTTGACTTGTCCTCCGATTTTAAACTTAAATAATAAAAACAAACCTCTTTAGTTAAAGGAGCTTCTAAATTAGAAAACAAATATTTTTTAAATTTTGTAGTTTATACATTTAATTTTATACTTTCAGCACAGAGCGCCTTAGCAACAATTTTCGGTTATACTTTTATTGCAGCCCCCCCCCCCAGTAGCACAGCGGACTTACAACGCTAGAATCTGGGTTTCGATACCCATGATGGCCAGAGCACAGCTAGCCCATTGTGTAGCTTTGTGCTTAATTACAAAGAAACTTTTATGGCTAAGCAACATATAAAAGCCATTGTTGGAACGCATTGTTACCAAAACGCACTAGCTTTTATATATATTAAATGTTGTTATCTAAGGAACCACTTCTTTTCTATGTGGTTTTTCGCTTGATTGCCTCGTTAAAAAGATACGCATGCTCGTGCGTATCTGGCTGCCTGTCTGTGATTTATATCTATAATTTCTAATATAAGGAACTACTTCTTTACAATGTGGTTTTTCACTTGCTTGCCTCATCAAAATGATGAGCGCGCGCACGTGGATAAAATAAGTAATAATACCCAGGTGCACACCCTCAGGGCCCCTTAGTATGGGTGCAAAATTTCAGGTTTCTACGTTCTTTCTGTTGTAGCTATAGCGGTCACATTCCTTTTCTATGTGGTTTTTCGCATAAAAAGATGCGCATGCAAGAACGTAGATAAGTAAGAATACCCAAGTGCACACCCTCAGGGTCCACGTAGTATGCATGCAAAATTTCAGGTTTCTAGATTCTTTGCTCTCGGTGCTATGGCGGTCACATATTCTTTTCTTTATGTTACTTTGCTTGCTTACCCCACAAAAAGATGCACACGCACTTGGATAAGTAATAATAGCCAGGTACACACCCTCATGGTCCACTTAGTATGTGTGCAAAATTCCAGGTTTCTATGTTCTTTCCTCTTGGAATTATTGCGGTCACACAGACATGCCCTGTTATTACTATAGATAAGTGGTGCGAGGCTTTTAGTTATAGAAAAAATGAATAAAACTCGAAAGATATTAAATCTTCTTTTGTGATAAGTAATTACTAAAGTTTAAACGCTTCAAGTATAAAAACTTATTCCGTTATAAAAGTTTAATGGTTTCAAGTAACTAAGTAAAAATTATTATATTTTAATAATGGTCGGTAAGCACTAGAAATAGTAGCAGTTGTGTTCACAGTCTAATATTTATCTAAAGAATAATATAAACTTTTTTTGGGGGGGTCACGTTTAATTTGTCCAGTGCGGATTGAAAATGAGATGTTATCAAAATAGCGTTTCGGACAAATATTTTAAATACGTAAAGTAAAAAGAATGAGAAGTGTGAAAAATTCTCGTAATTTTTATCACAATTTTTAAGCCTGTTATTTTCTAATTCTTCAGCGGATTTCGGCGTTTAAACTGTAACTATAAATTATTATTTCAATATAGAAAAAACATGGCAAATTATACTTAGGTGACTATGGTCTCCTTAAGTGAAAACCCTGTCCGTATTGTTCCGAAACACAAAACTTTCAGACGTAACTTACAATTTATTTCAAAGTATTAAACGTACTTTATAAAAATAATGAATGGTTGCCTGTACTAATAGAAAAATGTGTCGCCGCAGACGCGAGTTGTAGTCCTACTGGCTATGTGTTTAATACTTTATTCTTAACAGTTGTTGTTGCTGCCATAATTCATAACCTTTTCCGAGGGAGAATGTTATTTATCGAAGAAGGGGGTCGTCAATGCTTTACTGGAGTTTCTTGGTTGAATTTCACGCAAAGCTACTCTAAGGCTACCTACGCTAAGTGTTTCCAATTTTGAAGTGATAGGTTAGAGGGAAGGCAGTTAGTCAACACTACCCTTCACCAACACTTTTACAAACGAATAGTAATCTTGAACGTCACATCATAACGCCCCTACGGCTGAAAGGGCGAGCATGTTCGGTGACGGGATTCTAACCCGTAGATTGCGAGTCGAATGCCCTAACCACTACGCCATGCCACCAGGCCTGTTCTCCGTGAGAGCTGGAGAACTCGCATAACAAATAATTTAGAGCGTCAGGGCGTTGGAAAAACATCTTACACCCATCCAAAGCAACATCCTTATCTGTAAATTGAATGTTACAAAAAAAAACTCCCTTACCTGTAAAAGTCATTGTGGTGAAGATGGGCATACCTCTGATATCATTATCAAGATAATAAACAAAGGTTTAAAGTTGATGAAGGTTCACAAATTCGAAATTAATGAACGTTGAATCATAGAGTGTCCATTTGAACAAGTGCCTCTCAAGTTATCTCCCACACCCAAGAATCCATGATGCACTTACATTGGACTGTTGTACTTCGTTTTGCGTAGACGAAGTCTTGGTAGCAGGGCCCGCGCTAACGTTGTACTAGGGTTGGCAATGCACTCATAAATTTCACTCTAGTCCACCAAGTTCATTCTCCCTAGTGGTTTAAAAAGCATATTAGCAAATATAAATAGTCGGATGAATTTTTAAACCACTAATAAGAGTCAACAAAAGTTAGTTTCATTGCTTCCCCCCCCCCTCTCTCCAAGGGACAGGAGCTGGAGTCTATCCTGCTCGGGAGGATGGTGTTCGACATCAATACACGGTTAAAGGTCTGTAGAAAGTTTGACAGGACGTTGGCGACTTTCGCAAAAAATTGCTACGATGTCAGATAATAATAATTGATTATAATCATTAGCAGAGCCCCGCAAAATTTGCAGTCAAATCAGTATCCTTATTGCAACAATACTTCTTTAAATACGGGATTTCGAGAATAATACAAAAGAATTTCATTCGCAGACACAAAAACCTATAAGTCCACTTGTCTTAGGCCTAACATTAGTTAAGCCTTTATCAAACGGCCTGCATTCATATAAAGACCGACATTAAGAGTTTTAAAAAACGACATTTTTGGCACAATGAAAGGTAAAATATTTATTATAGGTTACAACCGACTAGTTTCGATAATACAGTTACCATCAGCAGGCATAATAATTGTGTTACTGAAACTAGTCGACTGTAACCTATAATAAATAT